CCACAACTAGCGTTGGACTAGTGTGGTGACGAGAAAGGGGGCCACAACTAGCATTGGACTAGTGTGGTGACGTCCATTCATCCATCACATTCATTCATGACTATAAAAAGCGAGTAGACATGCGAGTCACTTATAAACACGTAGCACATAACACTTAGCATGCTTGACTAGATGCAAGGACCTAATAAAGCGATTAAACACGTAGCAGCGAAAGCAAGCAATGAACTTATTACATTTGCTAACTAAAACAAAGGGGGGAAAGGGAAAATGGACAAGAAAGCTCACCCTATCTATTACAAGCCAAGAGGTGTACACATACCTCATTTAAAAGAATAATTTAATAAAAACAAGAATGAATGAAATAATGGAACTAAAGAATGGTAATGAAAGCAAATTAGGCATGCGATTCACACTTAGCACATTGGATCACATAGGAGAGGCAAAAGGGATAAAAGAATTTATACCTCCCTTGAAATGAAGCTCTAATGGAGTGAAATCAACTTATTTACCTCCAAAATAATAAAGGAGTCAAGGTGCCAATTTATTTGACGAATAACCACAAAGGATAAAAATAAACATGAATTTGAATCAATTAAATCATGTCAACAACCCACATTTAAGAAGTCAAGAAAAGAAAGGACTTGATTGCAAAGATTGGCAAAATTTTGGGGCCAAAATTAAAGAAAAATAAAGTTCAGGGACTCATTTGCAATTAAACCAGGGACTGAATTGAAAGCAGTTGAAAATATCCAGGGGCACAGTACAATTAAAGGAAAGTACAGGGACTGATCTGCGAATTCATTTCTCTGGCTTCTTAATGGATTAAACCACTGGGCTATTTTATTTATTTGTTTGGGCCAAGATCATTCGGCCCAATCGGAAGTCCAAGGAAAACAATCTGGTTAGCCCATCATTTTCACTAATCTAGCTCATACAAAATTAAGGGCCTCAAGTTTCCAAGCCCAAATCATAGACCCAGAAGAAGCAAACCAAAATCCATTAGCCCAACCCAACTAAGTATTATTACCCAAAACCCTAACCATAACTAAACCCAACAAGATTAGTAAATTAACTAAAATTATTAAGCCACAATTATGATCTAAATCCCCGAATTAATTTATCCCACAAAGTCACATAAAATAGGCAAGCATGGGATTAAGCTTAAGGGGGTGAGATTAATTCAACCTTTCCAATTTTTTGGGTCACATCAGAACAGCGGGGTGACTTGAGGGGTTCCAATGCAATAACAACAGGGACCTGATTGAAAGAATTATAGCAGTTTGGGGGCGAAATTAAAGAAAAGCAAAGTCCAGGGGTCAAATTGAAAATTCATAAATATTTTCCCTACCCAGTTCGTCTTCCTCGCATATCAATACAAGCCAAACATCGTTCAAAAGGAAATTTCAGCTGGGGATTTTCTCAAACAGGTTGGGGGCATTCGAATTTCATCAATTTTTGCTCAAATTAGAGTTAATCAACCCCAAAGTTGTTCAACAAACAAGAGATTTCAGTCCAATTTAATATATAAGGCACATATAATCTAAAATTATGAACAAACAACATGAAAATTGTACTGAACAAATGCATGGCAAATGTGCTCCGAACATCGCAAAAATGCAACAACGAAAAGTGGAAAAAATCAACTTCAAGAAATCATCACTTCTCTTTCTGGCTAGCAAACGCACGGATTCTGGCCAGCTTTGAACCGGCCAGATTCTCCTTTGAATTGCATACAGAAAATACACGCGACTCTTTCTTTTGGTTTAAAAATTTCATTCAGACATTGTACCAAACATCTAACGGTCATTAAAACATTCCGCCAATCTTTGTCTAATTGAGAGTATAACCGGCCCCAAGATCATCAGCAAAACCAATCAAATCCCAGTCCAATTAGCATATAAGCATATGTATTCAGAAATTTAAGCTATTTAACAGGGAAATTGCACTAAATAATGCCACGGCAAACTCATTTCAGAGGCTTGAGAAGAACTGAAATTCGAAGAGAAAACTTACAGGGGCTCTTGCTTGGGAGATTCTGCGGGCAATAACGGTGGAATCGGTGAGGTAGTGATGGTTTGGTGAGTTGGAAGTCTCCGCTGCTGTCGCCGCTCAAGTCATCCATGGAAGAGGAGCAGGTGGAGAAGAAATTGATGAAAGGCTCTGGCCATGAAACTGGCGCTTGAAGCCGTTTTGTTGAGCTCAAGCAGTTTCACTGGAGTCGTTGTGCCCTCTTTCCCCTCTTCTCTTTTCTTTTCTTCCCGTTTTCAAACCGTCGCCGCCTGGTTCCTCCGCCGTGAGCCTTTTCTCTTCTTCTTCCTTTTTCTGTTACCTTTTATTTCTTTTGGCTCCCCGTCTATCTTACTCTGGCCGAATATCTCCTCCGTGGTTTCTTATTGGCCAAAGACCTCCGCCGATGTCCCCCTCTGTTTTTCTCTTGCTCTGTTTAGCTCCTATCCCCAAACCCAGATGCTGCTCTCTCCTCCTTTTTCTCTGTTTTTCTTTTTTTTTCTTCCCCCTGTCCCCCAACTTCCGAAGCCCTCTCTTGTGTTTTCTTCTTTTTTTTTTCCGTCCCCTTTTCTCTGCCGACCAAGCTTCCCCCCGGTCTCTGTTTTCTTGCTCTCTATTTTTCTTTCTGCTCAACCCCCAAAATTTCTCCCCCGTCGTTTTTTTTTCTTTCTTTTTTTTTTTTTTTTGCCTGCTATCAGTTTTTGTCGATGCCTTTCTCTCTCTCTTTACCCTCTGTTTCCTTTTTTCTCTGCTTTTTTCTCTGATTCCAGCCGAAGCTCTCCCTTTACTCTGTTCCAGCTCAAAACTCTTCGTCCCCAGATGAAGTTTTTTTTCCAATTGCCTTGTCCGCCGCCCCTATTCTCGTTTTTTCTTTTTCTTTTTTTGCCGCCTGAAGCCTCTCCTATGTTTTTCATTCTTTCTGTTGCCTCTGTCTTTTTTCCTTCTTTCTTTGCTTTTTTTTTTCAAAAATTCCTTAAAACTTACCAAGTGTCCCTCACCCCTTGCCACCTTGGTGATGTGTTGTAAAAAAACAAGAAGGGACACTTGTCCCACATGCAAATTTCCACTTGTCATTTTCACCTTTTTCTTTTTCCTTTTCTCTTTTTCTTTTATTTTTCCTGAAATTTAATGTAAAGCCAAAAATAAACTAGAACAAAAATAAAATAAATAACAATAATAAAAATAAATAATAAAATAATAAAATAATAATAAATGAAAACCCTAAAATTGAAATAAATAAAACTAAGATTAAATTAATTAAACAAATAAAGTTAAAAAATCAAAAATTTGGTGTCTACAGTTGAAATACAACTAATTTGTGACAGAGGCAGTAACTCTTAGTTTTTTTCCTTTTTATCTCAAAATGAAACTATAAGTTCAATGTTAATATGTTTTTTCTTTTTTTTTTTCATTTCAAAACAAACCTAAAAGATCACTCTTAAATTTTACTCTTTTATCATCCCAAAACAAAACTTTATGGTCACTCTTAACTTTTTCTCTTTTATCATCTCAAAACAAAACTTTGTGATCACTCTTAATTTTTTTCTCCTTTTCATCTCAAAACAAAACTTTGGGTAAGTTTTCAATTAATTTTCTTTCCTAATTTGAGTGGCGTGGTTTTGGTCATCATTGGTGCATTACATCATAAATATAATTTGATAATTTCATACAATTTGCCCTTGAATTAGTTATTCATACCACAAACCACCACATATACACTCGTATGTATTCATTCCAAATGTGTTAGTTTTACAATTCTTAGGATATAATTCCTAGGTATGTTTTGATCCACAATATTATTAAAAGTCTTTCAACATACTAGATGCAGTCCAGTTAAAGAAACACTTAAGAACTAATTTAAATAAAAGTTAAACTATACAAGAGTATTTTGTTTAATAGGTTTGGCCAACGAGTGTCCTAGAGCACGTGCTATTAGTTAATAGAGTGTCAGCTGTTAATATGTTAGCAAAAGTGTAATTAGTTCGGAAGAGTGATGTGTGTATTCATACTGTAAATTAGGTGCGATTTTAGTGTTTTCATGAGTTTCAGCACTCGGTAATCCTTGAGAGTGGAACTCCCTTTAAATTATCGAAAGGAAAAGGAAAAGGAAAAAACAAAGCAGGGAAAGAAACAAAAAAGTCTTCAACGTGTTTAAGCACCGCAGAAAAGTCTTCTAAGAAAATTTGCACAACAATTGCGGTGAACTTGACGCTCAAATGTGAAATCAAATCAAGGCTGGAAAGAACACATTACAAGTCTTCCCTGGCCCCCTAAGACGCAGATTGGAAAGACCTTGACTTAGACTTTAAAAGCAGAGCTTTAAAATTCATGCTACCTCAGAGTACTTATCAGGAGGCCTAAATTTCATATATCTAACATCGATGGAGGTTGCATGCAGCAAAGTTGTTCTTCTCCTGATATCGGCTACTGCACAAGCAGCAGGAGCAGCGAGAGAGCCTGCTCTTGGTTACACCGAATACAGCGTAATAGGTCTTAGCATATTTTTTGTGGTTTACTCACTAATCGGTGGATTACTATGTTTAATCCTCTGCAAAACTAAGGTCAAGAAAGTAGAATCTGAGCCCATAGACAACAAACATGGAGACGTTTTCAGAATGTTGAACTATGATGGACATATGGCTTATGAAGACATAATAAAAGCAACAAGAGGTTTTGATGTCAGTTATTGCATTGGGAGAGGGAATTATGGCAGTGTGTACAAAGTGCAATTGCCAAGTGGGAAAGTAGTGGCTGTGAAAAAGCTTCACCATTTGGAAGGCAAGAATCCAAATTATGATAAGAGCTTTAGGAATGAAGCCCGCATGCTATCCAGAATCCGGCATCGAAACATTGTAAAGCTCTTTGGATTCTGCCTGCACCAGAGATCCATGTTTTTGATTTATGAGTATATGGACAAAGGAAGCTTGTTTTGTATCTTGAGAGATGAAATTCAAGCTGTGGAGCTAGATTGGATTAAGAGATTGAACTTGATAAATGGCATTGCCAATGCATTGTCCTACTTGCATCATGATTGTGATCCACCAATCATTCACAGGGATGTATCAAGCAACAACATTCTTTTGAATTCACAGCTTAAAGCAACTCTATCTGACTTTGGAACTGCAAAGATTTTGAAACCTGATTCCTCAAATCAAACAGTAATTGCAGGCACCTATGGTTACATTGCACCGGGTATTTACCTTCTTATTCCTAGAACACTTTCTTTTTTTTTCGCCTTGTTTCTGTTATTTTATCTCTGCACGTATCAGGTTTAACTTCTACTAGAAAGAAAAAAGCAAAAAAGACCTGTAACTACATATTATTGTTTTGTTGAGCAGCAAGGTGTAGTACATGAAGAGTTGATTTTTGGTGGGTAACTAGACCGACCTAAATCAGTCCTCTCTTGAGTGAGGTGAGATGAATTCACTTGTCCGAAGTGGATGGCGGGGCTTCTCCCCTGGGATCACTCCGACGATCAAGTTAGTACGAGAACGAGAAAAGCAATAGTATTTGTGAATGAACAGTATGCTTACTTGTTGGGAGTATGTGTGGGGTATTTATAGAGTGAGAGTGAGAGATAGGACAGAGGGCTTATGCTGGCGGGACCCACGTCCTGACATTACGGCTCTGCTCCCTGTCAGGAGGTCTGACTCTGACACTGTAGCCGCCTGTGCAGGGTGACAGGGGACCTTGCGTAGTTGCCATTAAGAATACCAGGTGCTTTTCAGATAAAGCACTGGTCTCGGATGATGTCAGGCGGGCTGACATCATCGGCGTGCAGCCGAGGTGGAAACCTGTGGTGCAGAGGCCATCTAAACAGTTGGCCAGGGGCCTGCCCAAGGTCAGGGATCATGCTCAAGACAACACTTCACTCGCGTGAGGGACGAAATGAGATCACCTCGGCCTTACAGGGACTGCCGAGGTGAGCATCCTCAGTACACGATGTATGGCTTAAATTTTCGAATATTGAAAGGATTGCAATTGGATTACTAGCTAGGATTGGCAGCCTAGGATTGTCCAGCTGAGAATAACTTTATTTTATCCGCTACTTGTAATTGCAGAGCTAGCCTATACCGTGGCGGTCACTGAAAAGTCCGATGTGTATAGCTTTGGCGTTGTGGTGCTGGAAACGCTGTTTGGAGAGCATCCACAAGAATTCCTTTCTTGCGTATCATCACAACCCAATGAACCAATAATGATGAAGGATCTTCTTGATGCCCGTCTGCCCCCTCCGACTAACCCTTTGGTCGTTCGAAATGTGGTTGTCGCGACAGCGTTGGCCCTGGATTGCGTCAACGCAAACCCAAAATTTCGACCAACAATGCAGCAAGTGGTGAACCGATTTGAAGTGGGCAGGCGAGAATCAACTAGGCCTTTGCACACCATTGCTGTGAATCAGTTTATAAAAGTAGAAACATGACCAAGCACTGAGATTATTGCATATACCATATAGTGTACTAATAAAAATAGAAAAAAAGAAAGTGTGCTAATTAATGAAAAGCAACTCTTATATGCCGATTAAAAGCCTAGGAAATTTTGTCATCAATATTTAAGCCAAAGGAGATTCTACTTGTTGGGCTTTATTTCCAGAATTATACTTGATTCTTCAAAACTTTATAAAGCGATCCGATCATACCGTCTACTCATCTAATTAACTGAGTACATGGGGAGATATAAAGTGAAATACTTTGTTTCACCGTGTGAAGGGCATCATAATAATTTTTTTCTTTTTACCCAAATAAGTATTATTTGTGCTAATACTCCTAATGCTTATAGATGTGATTAACGAATCAACTGCTCTACTTGCAGGCTACTTGGCAAGTTTAAAATAGTACCATTATTCTTTTGGGATCAAAATTGTATAAATTTCGTCAAAAGTAAAAATAACTACTTCTTGAACGAACTGGGCATAATCAACTGGAAAGGAAGGCAAGGACCCATAAAGACATATCATGCTGCACCGTTGAAGTTGTCAATTGGGTCTATTCGTGGGCATGACAAATACTTACATGGACCACAGTCCACGAAACCCAACAAGCATCGTCCAATTTTAATCTCCACGTTTCTACCGGAACAACTTTGACATCCGACAGGAAACTCAATAATGTCATGTTTTTGGAGAATAGAAACATTGGAAAGGAAAGATGGAACCGTCATCCAAGTTGAATGAAAAGAAAAATTGGAAAGCATTATCCAAGACAATTTTGGAATCTCACAGACTTGTCCATAGACTTTCAAAAGATTAAAGCATCATGCATGAAGGAACTCATGGGAATTATTTTTGAATCTGGTGATAAAATAGAAATATAGAGTTTTGTAATGACACTTTGGATGATCTGGCATGCAAGGAACAAGCTCATATTTGAGGGAATTTGCATGAAGACAGAGGTGATAGTGGACTGGGTGAGGGCATATCTATGGGAATTAAATCAAAGGAATAGAAACATGACCAAGCACTTAAATTATTATTCTCTCTGTCCGAAAGAAAATTGACAAAAAGGGAGAAAAAGTTTAATTTAAGTACGTAAATTGTTTTGAGTTGTTATGAATAGAAAATTGATAACATTGAAAACTTTAAATTTTTGATCACATTTAATAGTGGTGAAAAAGTTTTTTTTCTTTTTTTGGACGATCAATAGCGATTCCTCACTCACCTTCATTTTTTTTTTGTCAAAATGATAACATTTGTATTGATTTAAACTTGATAATACAAGAGCACTTTACAAAAGGAGCTCATTGCCCTCATAATCTATTCTTGCTAGATCTTTAATCCTGCCAGGGAAACATGATTCCCAATATACATCATTAACTAGCTTCAAGGCAAACTTTGCTAGCCTATGACACACTTCATTCCCTTCCCTATGTATAAAAGAGAAGTTGCATTGCTCAAAAAACTCCCTCAGCTTTTGTATGTCCTCCAGTATCACAGCACAGTTGCTGTTGTTGCATGAGACGGTTAAGATACAGTCTATCACATTCTTGCAATCTGATTGTACTTCGATTCTTCTCCAGCCTGCTGCCTTTCCAAATTGCATTGCAGCTCTAATTGCTGCAGCCTCCTCAATTTCTGGTTCCCCCAACTTCTCCTCCATTATGGCCCAAGCTTTCAGCACCTCTCCTTTCCAGTTTCTAGCCACTATTCCTTTACCAGTTCTGATTGACTGTGTTGAGATTGCAGCATCAGTGTTTATCTTGTACACACCTTCCATTGGAGGCTTCCATCGTCTATCATACTGATGTGGAGTTGCTTCAACAATGCCAGCTCTACTTTCTAGTTCCACAGCTTCCTTGAACTCCATCCACTCTTGTTGAGCTTTCCTTACCACTGAAATTTCCTCCCCTTTTGCGTTGTTGAAGACAATCTGGTTCCTTGCCTTCCATATTTGCCAGAGGAGATTAATTGTTAATTCTATATGCTCCTTGCCATTGACTCTTTGAGTTGCTTCTAAGAGTCCTTCCCACCATCTCCAAAAGCAAGCCTGCAGATCTATTAATCCATCCCAGTTGATTGGACTGAGTTTCCAGATCATCTTTGCATATTCACAATCAAAGAACAGATGCTCTATAGTTTCAATTCCATCCCCACAGCTTTTGCATATGTTGTTCCCCATCCTGTTCTGCCGTGCACCAAGTCATTGACTGGAAGACAGTTGTGTAGACATTTCCACATAAAATGCTTCAGTTTGTGTTTGACATTTGTTCCCCACAACTTCTTTCACATACTTTCCTTCCTATTATGGCTACTTGTCTTCTCCTTGAGCTGCATTGTTTTAGTTGCCTGTGCCTCCATTTCCTTTGCTAAAGTATACCCTGACCTCACTGTATATTCCCCATTCTTTGAGTGATGCCAGATGATCCTGTCTCTCCTTTGGTACATACTGAGTGGTATCCTTACAATCATTTGGGCCGTCTCTCTGCTGAAAACTTGATTTATTAGCTCCTTATCTCATTGTCCATGTTTAATCAGGTCTTTGACATATTGGATGCTTCCCAATGCTGGTCTATCATGTTCCATTCTACCATCTCTTGAACCAGGTATCCATCTGTCTTGCCACACCTTGATGGTACTTCCATCCCCAACTTGTTTTCTTATTCCATTTATCAAAAGGAATCTGGCGCTCAGAAGACTCTTCCATAGGTATGATGCTGAAGTAGGGGCATGCTTCATCCAGTCAGATTCTCTTTTCATATATTTAGCTCTCATAACTCTACTAACAAGCCTGTTAGGCATAACAATGATTCTCCAGAGTTGTTTTGCTAGCAAAGCTGTGTTGAACATTTCCAGATCTCGAAAGCCTAGACCTCCCTTTCCTTTCACCTCAGTAAGTGCCTTCCAATTGGTCCAGTGTATTTTCCTTTGATGCTCGTTTGCCCCCCACCAGAACCGTGCCATTTGTTTACTAATGTCTCTACACATTCCTTTTGGGATTCTAAAGCACGACATTGTGTAATTTAGGAGTGCCATTATCACTGATTTCAGCAATACTTCCTTTCTAGCAAGACTCAATAGATTTCTTTTCCAGCTTTGTATTCTCTGTGTTACACTTGCTTTTACTTCCCCAAACACCTGATTCTTTGTCCTCCCTATCACCATAGGAAGACCAAGATACTTCCCACTAAATGCTTCTCTTAGATTTCCAAGTATACTGCATACTTCCTGTCTGGTATCCAAATCAGTGTTCCTACTGTAGTAGATAGCAGACTTGTCCAAGTTGATTAGCTGTCCAGACGCTCTTGCATATTTGTCCAGCAGCTCTTGAATCTTCCAAGCTTCCTGGTTTGTGGCCTTGCAACAGAGCAAGGCATCATCTGCAAAAAAGAGATGTGTAATGGGGGGGCACTTTCTTCCCACTTGGATTCCTGTCCACATTTTACTAGTTGCAACTTTGTTTTTCAAGTTTGAGAGTGCCTCCGCAACAAATAAAAAAAGGTAGGGGGATAATGGGTCTCCCTATCTTATGCCCCGCTTAGGTTGGACATATCCTACTTTTTCTCCATTACGATTAAAAGAATAGTAGACGGTAGAGAGGCAATTCATAATCCATCTAACCCAAATGGGGCAGAATCCCATTTTTAGCATTATTCTTCCCAAAAATTGCCATTCCACTCTGTCATAAGCTTTAGACATGTCAAGCTTGATAGCCATAAAGCCTATTCTACCTGTTCTTTTATGTTTTAGGAAATGCATAACCTCGTGAGCTAGGAAAACATTATCTAGGATTTGTCTGCTTGGCACAAAGACAGATTGAGTTTCAGTAATGCACTTAGACAGGATTTTTTCAGCCTATTTGCCAGGATTTTGGAAACAATTTTAAAGAGGACAATGCAAAGACTGATTGGCCTGTAGTGATTAATATTAGTGGGAGCAGACACGTTTGGGATTAGAGTAATCAGGGTTTCATTGACTGCCTTCAGCATATACCCACTATGAAAAGAACTCTTAATAGCATTTACTACATCCAAATTTATGATATGCCAATATTTCTGGAAAAAAAGAGGTGACATACCATCAGGACCTGGCGGTTTATTTGGATGCATAGAAAATACAGCAGCTTTGACTTCCTTTTCCTCCACAGGTTTGATCAAATTTTCATTCATCTGCTGAGAAATTGTATGGGGGACACCATCGAGAACCTCATCAATGTTAGCCGGTTGTGATGTGTTGAAGATGTTGCTGTAATGATTACCAATCTCATCCACCAATTCTTCCTTTGTTTCACACCAGCTTCCATTCTCTTTTTGCAAGCCTGAAATCCTATTCTGTCTCCTTCTTATTCCCACAGAGGCGTGAAAAAAGGCAGTGTTTTTATCTCCATGCTTTAGCCATTTGTTTCTTGCCTTTTGAGCCCAGTAGATTTCCTCATCCCTATATGCCTTGCCCAACTTGCATTTCAGTTCATCTAGAGTGTCCCTCCTTTGACCAGCTTCCATCTGCTTGGCTTCCTTGATTTGTTTTTTCAACCTCTGTATTACCTCTCCTGAGTTGTTCCTTTTCTTCCTATTCCATTCCATCAATGCCAATCTGCATGCTTTGATTTTTCTTGTCACTTTAAAAAACCTGGATCCTTGTTGTTGTTCCTTCCAAACATTCGAAATCACAGTATTAGTTTCCTCCTCAAAGGTCCACCTCTGGTCAAAGTAAAATCTCCTCTTGTAATTCTTCTTAACAGGTTCAGTATCCATTAGAACAATACAGTGATCAGATGCTTCCTTATGCAGATGTGTACACCTTGCATTCTTGAAATGTTGGATCCATCCTTGATTTGCTAGGCATCGATTTAGTCTTTGTTGGACCAGCCCACCTCCCTCCCATTGATTAGACCAAGTCCATGGCACTCCTTCAAACCCAAGGTCTATCAGTGCATTACTTTCTATGAACTCTCTAAAATCTTTGAAACTGCTCTCAGGTCTACTTCTCCCACCCCATTTCTCCTCATTTGACAGTATATCATTTAAATCACCAGCCAGCATCCATTGCTCTCCCCACTTTCCTTTTTCTTG